ATGGAATTTAAAACAATGGAGCTTACAGAAAAAATGAAAAAAAGAAAAAAAAAATAACGACAACGAAAAAGGGAATTAATGGTTAAACATAACGAAACAAACAGGAGAAATGACAACAGCAAAGGAAAGGAAATGTTTGTATAGGAATATAAAGAGTTTGACACTAGAAATGTGTCAACCGCGGGACAACTATGTGTTTAAAAATATATTTACACTAAAAGCCAAGGATTACGTAAGTCCTTCCCCTCGACTCGGCAAGGAAAATAATATTGATATTTTTTTTTCTTGACTTTTCTTTTGTTTTTTTTGTTTTTTGTTTTTCCCCGTATTCTCTTATTTCCATTATTGGTACTCGAAAAGAAGATCAAAGTCGTAGCAGAGGCGTGCGTTCGTCCGTTCGTGCGTGCGTGTGTGCGTGCGTGCGTCTCGGATATCGGTGGCGACGGCGGCATTTGACAGTCCAGACGTCGAGGAGGGAGCGGAGGGCCCTTGCGAGGGGGTCCTCAAGAGCTGTTGTTTTACTGGAATACACGGCTGGGCAGGGGAAGGGGGGGGAGGGGGGGAGAGACGGAGGGAGGAAGGCGGGAGGGAGAGCTCTTGCTCCTCCCCTCTCTCCCCCTTCCCCTCTACATCCCCCCCCCCTCCCTTCTCCTCGTAATTCTTTTCGTGTGTTTCTGTCGCTCTCTTTCTGTCTGTGTGTCAGTCTCTCCGTTCTCTTTTCTCTTTTCTAGTCTCTTTTATCTCTCCTCTCTTCTATCTCCCTTCTCCCCTCCTTTTTTTCCTGTATACTCTCTCTACCCCGCCTCCGTACTTCTCTTTCCTTCCTTCTTTCTCGTCTTTCCTTTTTCCTATCTTCTGTTTTCATCTCCTCTCTCTCTCTCTCTCTCTCTCTCTCTCTCTCTCTCTCTCTCTCTCTCTCTCTCTCTCTCTCTCTCTCTCTCTCTCTCTCTCTCTCTCTCCTTTCCTCTCTGTTTCTCTCTCCTTTCCTCACTTTTTCTCTGTCCTCTTTCCTCTCTTTTTATTTCTCTTTCTCTCTCCCTCCATCCCTCCCTTCTTCCCTCCCTCCCTCTCCCCCCTCCCTCCCATGGATATATAGATGTAGCTATTATTGTCGATATAAATGTTGATAGATACATCCATACTTATAAACATTTATATACAGTATATACATTCACACACATACATATGTATATACTTATTCATCTATATTCAATCTTACAGCATTCATATATATATCTAATTTTTTTTTCACTTCTACATGATTCCCTCTTCACTGCATCTAGTTCCTCCTCCTCCTCCTCCTCCTCCTCCTCCTCCTTCCTCTCTCCCTCCCCACCCCCTTTCTCCCCCATAATGTTCATGTCGCCTTTATAGAGCTCGACGCCGACCCCCCCCCCCCCCCCCCGACTCAGGACCCCAGACTCCAACCCCGACCTTACAGTCACCAGACCATTATGAATCCCGCCACAGTTGTCGCCATAATGACCATAACCCTTTCCTCCTCCTCCTCCTCCTCCTCCTCCTATCTCCCCTCTTCCCCTTCCTCCTCCTATCTCCCCTCTTCCCCCTCCTCCTCCTCCTATCTCCCCCTCCCTTCTCCTTCTCCTTCTCCTACCCCCTCCCCCCTCCCCCTTCCTTCTCCTTCTCCTTCTCCTACCCCCTCCCCCCTCCCCCCTCCCCCTCCCTTCTCCTACCGCCCATGATTTAGCTTCGGGAAAAATAAGGAAAAAGGGACGCGAGGGAATGTAGCTGTCAGAGGGTTCTGTGGAGCGACCCTCTATGTGTCTGTCCTGTCTTTCTCCCCTCTTCCTCCTCCTCCTCCTCCTCCTCCTCCTCCTTCTCCTCCTCCTCTTCTTCCTCTTCTCCCCTCTTTCCTCTTCCTTCCTCTTTCTTTCTCTCTCTCTCCCTCCCTCCCTCCCTCCCTCCCTCCCTCCCTCCCTCCCTCTCTCTCTCTTCCTCTCTCCCTCCTTCCCTCCCTCCCTACCTCCTCCCCTTCACCTCTCTCTCTCCCACCTCACCACATCCCCTTTCCCTCCCCCATTTCCCCCCACTCCCCCCCCCCCCCCCCATTCCGCCAGGACGTCGCAGGAGCGGGTCGAATGCTCGCATAATGGGTCTGGGAGGCGAGAGGAGGCGGCTGCGGCGAAGCGGTTCAGTGGCCCTTGAAAACTCCCCTTTTCTCTGCTCGCGATTTTTATGTGTATTTATATCCTTGTTTGTGAGGTGGATTGTCTTGCGCGCCAGCCAGTTAATAGGGCGGAGGGAGTTGGGGGAGGAGGGGAGGGTGGGGAGGAGGGAGGGAGGGAAGGGTGGGGGAGTTGGGGGAGGAAGGGAGGGAGGGAGGGTAGGGGAGGAGGAAGGGGAGGGAGGGAGGGTAGGGGAGGAGGAAGGGGAGGGAGGGAAGGAAGCAAGCAAGCAAGCAAGCAAGCGAAGAGAAGGAGGAGGAGAAGGAGAAGGAGGGGACACGGGCATTGGAGACGGGGCGAGCGCGTCTCGGAGCGGGACCGCTATCTTGGGACTCCTTCAGTAAGCTGCAAGATCCCATTGCGGATTCTCCTTTCCTTTTCTCTGCGTCCTTATTTGAGCCTCTATCGATCTCATTCCTGCCTGCCCTCCCCCCCCCCTCCCTCCTCTTTCATTTTACTACTACCATTTCCTCTCTGATACTTTCCTTTTCCCCTTCTTCCCATTTTGCTGCATTTTAACCCATAAGATATTTAAGTTTTGCTCCCACTGCCCGAGGCTCCTGAAGTACGCACGCGCGCGCACACATTTCCCCATTCCGAAAGTGTCTTTTATGCGCCCTCATCAGATACCGCCGAAAACCACCCGTGGCTCTATCGTATCTCTTCTTGTGTTCCAACGCCGCCGCACGAAAATTGCAGAATGAAAGGGAGAGAGAGAGAGAGAGAGAGAGAGAGAGAGAGAGAGAGAGAGAGAGAGAGAGAGAGAGAGAGAGAGAGAGAGAGAGAGAAAACAGACAGACAAATAGAGATAGCGAGAGGAGAGACAGAGACAGCGAGAGACAGAGACAGAGATAGCGAGAGACAGAGACAGAGACAGCGAGAGACAGGGACAGAGACAGATAGAGACAGAGGAAGCCAACAGAGAAACCGAGAAACCACAAGAATTAGAACACGATTAACACCCCCCAAAAAAAACAACAAAAAACAAAAACAGACAGATAAATAAATGGATAAACCGATAAATGAAAAAAAAAGAGGAGACGGGAGCTAATGGAAGTCGCGAATCGGCCTTCCGTTGCAGAGATCGATCGCGTTTGTCTAATCGGCCGCGCGGGTGTGACGGCTGTCCTCGCGCGCGCCGGCACTCTGCGGGCGGCGGCGGAGGCGGTCGGGGGATTACGCAGGGGGGGATGGTGGGGGGAGGGAAGGGAGGGAAGGAAGGGCTAATGGAGGGAAGGAGAAGGGAAGGAGGAAGGAAGGAAGGAAGGAGTAATGGAGGGAGGGAGGGGGAATGGAGGGAAGGAGGAAGGAAGGGAGGGAGGGAGGAGGGAAGGAAGGAGTAATGGGGGGAGGGGCAATGGGGGGAGAGGGAGGAAGGAAAGGAGGGGGCAGAGAAGGAGAGGAAGGAAAGAAGGGAGGTAGGGGGTAAAGAGGGAGAGGAGAGAAGGAGGAGGGAGTGAGGAAGGGGAAGGATAGGGGAAGGGACGAAGAGAGGGAGGGAGGGGGGGAGGGGCATGGGCATGGGCCACATCTCTTGTCCATAGGAATCCATATATCTGTTTCAGCTTCAACTTTTTCTTCCGATGTGGTTCCGTCTCATTCTGTTTTCCTTTTTTTCCCCCTTTTTTTCTTCTTCTTCTTCCACTTTCTCTTCTTCTTTTTCTTCTTCTTCCTCTTTCTCTTCTTCTTCTTCTTCTTCTTCTTCTTCTTCTTCTTCTTCTTTATGTAGACTATACCTTACTGTCTATTAGTCTGGCTATGTATGTACACGTGTATGTATGTATCTATTTGCCTATCTATTGACTCATTCGTACACATTCCTATATTCACACAAATACACGTTTTTATATCCCGTGAAATTGATTAAATGCAAATCTTTTTATCCTTTAACAATTATGAAACGCATCTCTTTATATGCCTTAAAATTTATTAAACACACGTCTTTATATTCATTGAGATTTATGAAAACACATCTTTATATCCCTTGAAATGTAACCTATTTACCAAGTGCAGTTGAATCAGCTTAAGTGAGGTGCTCTATACCATTCACTATCCCGCCCACCACAACCGCATTCACTATCCCGCCCACCACAATCGCAGTCACTATCCCGCCCACCACAACCGCAGTCACTATCCCGCCCACCACAACCGCATTCACTATCCCGCCCACCACAATCGCAGTCACTATCCCGCCCACCACAACCGCAGTCACTATCCCGCCCACCACAACCGCAGTCACTATCCCGCCCACCACAACCGCAGTCACTATCCCGCCCACCACAACCGCAGTCACTATCCCGCCCACCACAACCGCATTCACTATCCCGCTCACCACAACCGCATTCACTACCCCGCCCACCACAACCGCAGTCACTATCCCGCCCACCACAACCGCAGTCACTATCCCGCCCACCACAACCGCAGTCACTATCCCGCCCACCACAACCGCAGTCACTATCCCGCCCACCACAACCGCAGTCACTATCCCGCCCACCACAACCGCAGTCACTATCCCGCCCACCACAACAGCATTCACTATCCCGCCCACCACAACCGCAGTCACTATCCCGCCCACCACAACCGCATTCACTATCCCGCTCACCACAACCGCATTCACTACCCCGCCCACCACAACCGCAGTCACTATCCCGCCCACCACAACCGCAGTCACTATCCCGCCCACCACAACCGCAGTCACTATCCCGCCCACCACAACAGCATTCACTATCCCGCCCACCACAACCGCATCCACTATCCCGCCCACCACAACCGCATCCACTATCCCGCCCACCACAACCGCAGTCACTATCCCGCCCACCACAACCGCAGTCACTATCCCGCCCACCACAACCGCAGTCACTATCCCGCCCACCACAACCGCATTCACTATCCCGCCCACCACAGCCGCATTCACTATCCCGCCCACCACAACCGCAGTCACTATCCCGCCCACCTCAACCGCATCCACTATCCCGCCCACCACAACCGCATTCACTATCCCGCCCACCACAACCGCATTCACTATCCCGCCCACCACAACCGCATTCACTATCCCGCCCACCACAACCGCATTCACTATCCCGCCCACCACAACCACCGCAGCACTGTTATTGGGGAAGAAAGAGGAAGCAAATGCCTTAAGACGGACAATTTGGCAGTAGTGGTTGGCCTGATATTCAATTAGGAATGAGACATTTGTCGACCGTGATAAGAGTTGGGGAGGGGGAGAAGGAAGGGGAGGGGGAGAAGGAGGGGGAGGGGAAGAGGGAGAAGGAGGGGGAGGGGGAGAGGAAGAGGGAGAAACAGATACAGGGTGAGATAGAGTAGGAGGTGGTGGGGGGGGGAGTGGAAAAAGAAATCCGTCTGCCACACAAATTCTCCCCCTTTCCTCCTTGCTTCTTTCCTTCTTTCCTTCCTTCCTTCCTTCCTTCCTTCCTTTCTTCCTACCTTCCTTTCCATCTTTTCCCTTCCCCTCCCCCCCAATCCTCCATCCTCCTCAACACCCCCCCACCCCCCCAACACACGCACACTTTAATCATTCGAGGATTTGAGATTCTGACCGAGTCTTCCTCACTGTTTGAAATTCTCTCTCCTTCTCGGTGCGCTTGAGGAGCCGAAGTGGATGGGGGGGGAGGGGGGGGAGGATAGGCGTCGGGGATAGCTTTGAGGTGGTAAAGTGGGGGGGAAGGGGGGGAGGGAGGGAGGGAGGAAGGAAGAGGGTGGCGTGGAGGGGATAGGCGTCGGGGATAGCTTTGAGGTGGTAAAGTGGGGGGGGAAGGGGGGGAGGGAGGGAGGAAGGAAGAGGGTGGCGTTGAGGGGGGGGAAGGGGATGGGGACTAGGTGGATAGATGTAGGTTAAGCTAGCGAGGATGGCAGAGGATCGCGGATGTGGATAGATGGGTGGACGTGGCTGGGATAGGGGAAAGAGGGATAGTGGAAGTTAAAGGAAGGGGATAGGTGGATAGGTTTGAGAAGCTGAAGTGGATAGGGGATAGGTATTAGGGATAGCTTGAGAGAGAGAGGGCAAGAAGATAGGTGGATAGACGTGTTAAGGTAGGGAGGAGGGCAGAGGCTAGTGAAGGGGAGGGGGGGGGAGGTACATGGATAGACATGGGATAGCCGACGGGATAGAAGAGGTTGGGCGAAGCTGGTTAGCGTAGGCTAGGTTACAGGAATAACAAGTGAAGAGGTGTACTATCGTGGTATACATGTTAATAAATATTCGTAAAAATGGTAAATTGGATCGTATGTCGGCCTCAGGATAGAGTGACAGTTCAGGTGGTTAATTAGGATCGTAAATTCTTGTCTGTGTCTCGTCAACATTCTTGTCTGTGTCTTGTCAGGTGAAATATGTTCTGCATATTTTTACATGCCGGGAGTATTAATTTTCCCATTTAGTGTTGTGAGTAATGTTACTATTTTTGTTGTTGTTATCCTTATTCAGTGCCAGGATTACTATTATTATTACTACTATTCTTTTTTTAGCATCACCATAATCACCATTATTGTTATTATTGTCATTAATATGATCATTTTCCTTGTTATTTTTATTTTCATCATTATTACCATTATTGACAATATCACCACCACAACCACACTCACCACCACCTACCACAAGGTACTCCCACCATTGCCACAACGCCACCATTGCTGCCATAATCAATATCATAGAAAACTTGCCTTAACTCACCCCCCTGATTGCTTGTATAATAATTATAACTCTTTTTTTTCTCTTCACAGGTAAGCACGGAAATCCAATACTCTCTTCTACATGCACAAGGTAAAGAAAATGTTGGGAGAAATGTTACTTTGATTATTGACTATTGATTAGGGTGTACACTGGGAGAGAGGGAGAGAAGGAGAGGGAGAGGGAGAGGAAGGAGAAGAGGGAGAGAAGGAGAGGGAGAGGGGGAGGAAGGAGAAGTGGGAGTGGAAAAGAGAGAGAGAGAGAGAGAGAGAGAGAGAGTGTGTGTGTGTGTGTGTGTGTGTGTGTGTGTGTGTGTGTGTGTGTGTGTGTGAGAGAGAGAGAGAGAGAGAGAGAGAGAGAGAGAGAGAGAGAGAGAGAGTACGGGACTGTCGTGGCGTCGGCAGCGTGTGTTGCAGGGATAAGCCGCTTTGCTTCTGATGTTAAACTGCTTATTGCTGTATGTTTCCCTTACTCTCCATCTCTCTCTCTCTCTCTCTCTCTCTCTCTCGCTCTCTCTCTCCTCTGTGTTTTACTCTCCTAACCGTAATCTCATCCACCCTCCTCCTTCCGTTCTTCTTCCGTGCTCTCCCAACTCTTCCTCCTCCTCCTCTCCTATTCCTTTTCTTTCCCCACTCTTTCCCTCTTCCCCATTCTCTCCTCCTCTCCCATCCCCCTCTTCCCGATTCTCTCCTCCTCTCTCATCCCCTTCTTCCCAATTCTCTCCTCCTCTCTCATCCCCTTCTTCCCCATTCTGTCCTCCTCTTCCCCAATTCTCTTCTGTACTCCTATCCCTTTTCTTTCCCCACTCTTTCCCTCTTCCGCATTCTCTCCTCCTCTCCCATCCCCCTCTTCCCGATTCTCTCCTCCTCTCCCATCCCCTTCTTCCCCATTCTCTTCTCCTCTCCCATCCCCTTCTTCCCGATTCTCTCTTCCCCTAACCCGCGGTACCTGCATCCGCCCCCCCCCTCCCTTGGCCGGTGGCAGTAGGTCTTGTGTTGACGAGTAATAAAGGCCGGAGGTCAAAGGTCAAATCAGAAAGTTTTGGCGTGAATGGAAGGGTCAGTCAGGCCGTGATGGAGGGCAGGAGGTGTGGGGGAAAGGGGGGGAGGGGAGGGGGGTTAGAAAGGGGCATTGGGGGGGAGGGGATGGGAGGGGGGTTAGAAAGGGGCATTGGGGGGATGGGAGGGGGTTAGAAAGGGGCATTGGGGGGGAGGGGAGGGGGGGTTAGAAAGGGGCATTGGGGGGGAGGGGAGGGGGTTAGAAAGGGGCATGGGGGGGAGGAATAAGACGTGGGTGGCGGTGAGGGCGTGGAGGGTGATAGGCAGGGATTCAAGGTGGGCGTGCAGGCGGGCGGGCGAGTGGGTGGGTGGGTGGTCGTGGGAGACTAGGGTTTAGTGGGCGTACCGGCGCTAAGTTTGAAATTTTATCATTAATATTATTGTTCTTTAATCGTTTTTACGATTTCTTGAATTGTTATTAGTGTGGATTTTTTTTTCTTCTATTATAGGGTTCGAGAGTTTCAGTGAATCCCATCGTTATTGCAGAATGCATGCACAGTAGACGAACGATTAATTACCCACATCTTAATCTCCCTCCCTCTCACTCTCACCTCTTCTCTGTCTTTCCTTCCCTCCATTTTTCTCCCTCGCTCCCTTCCCATCCCTCCCTCCCTCGTTCCCCCCATCCCTCCCTCCCTCCCTCGTCCCCCCCATCCCTCCCTCCCTCCCTCGTCCCCCCATCCCTCCCTCCCCCTCCCAACCCTCCCTCCCTCCCCCTCCCTCTTTTTCTACCCTCCCTCCCCCTTCCTCGTCCCCCCCCCCCCCCGCCTTCTCCTCCCGTTCTCGCCTCTCCCTCTCTCTCTCTCTCCCAAAATATTTTGCATAATCATCTTACCTCTTGAAAGACGTAGAGAAGGGGAAAAGAAGTTAGTTTCCAGTCTAAAGGACCTCCTGGAATTTAAATGCAGATCCATATCTCTTTACAGCCGCACAGGCCAAGTTTTATCATCGTTTTCAACTGGAGGCCAAACTTTCCCCACGTCTTTTTAGTGCAGTGAGTAACGCCGGGAAGGGGGGGAGGGGTAGGGGGAGGTGGGGAGGGGTGGGGAAGGGGGATGGGTGGGGAGGGGATTGGGGGTATTGGTGTTGGTGTGAGAGAGGGTGGGTCGTAGTTGGAGGAGGGAGGGAGGAAAAGAGAGAGAGAGAGAGAGAGAGAGAGAGAGAGAGAGAGAGAGAGAGAGAGAGAGAGAGAGAGAGAGAGAGGAAGGGAGGAAGAGAGAGAGAGAGAGAGAGAGAGAGAGAGAGAGAGAGAGAGAGAGAGAGAGGAAGGGAGGAAGAGAGAGAGAGAGAGAGAGAGAGAGAGAGAGAGAGAGAGAGAGAGAGAGAGAGAGGGGGGGGGGAGAGAGAGAGGAAGAGAGAGAGAGAGAGAGAGAGAGAGAGAGAGAGAGAGAGAGAGAGAGAGAGAGAGAGGGGGGGGGGAGAGAGAGAGGAAGAGAGAGAGAGAGAGAGAGAGAGAGAGAGAGAGAGAGAGAGAGAGAGAGAGAGAGAGAGATGAGGAATGGCAGTGTGAAGGCCAAAAGGGGAGGAAGAGGAACAGGCGAGAATATAAAGAGAGAAGAAGAAGAAAATATATCTTTGATGAAAGAAGGAAAGAATAGAGGAAAGAAGGGGGGGGGTGAAGACGAGATGGCAAGAGGATAGGATGAGTAAACAAAGACAAAGAAGACGAAATGAAAAATAAAATAAAAGAAATAGAATATAGAGACGAAGACGGTGATCAGCTTAACGCAAAAACAACAATAATCAAGAAAAAAGAAAGAACGAAAGAAAAAGAAAAGGAAAAAAAACACTAAAGAAACAAAAGGCGAAAAACAAAAGAAGAAAAAGAAAGAATGAAAGACAACAAAAAAGACGATAAAACCAGAGAGAGAGAAAAAAAAAGAAAACCGAGAGAGAGAGAAAAAAAAGAGGAGAAAGAGAATTGGGAGAAAAAAAAAGAGAGAAAGGGAATTGGAGAGAAAAAAAAGAGAAAGAGAGAGTGAGAGCGCAGAACAAAGAGCACTGAGCTACGAGTAAAGGGAAGATATACTCTCAAGGGAGGCGGAGGAGGAGGAGGAGGAGGAGGAGGAGGGGGAGGGAGGGAGGGAGGGAGGGAGGGAGAGCGGCGCTAGAAGTGGCGTAGTGAGGAAACGAAGTGGAGGGGGAGCGGCATTGTGGCCGGAGTAGGGGGAGGGAGGGATGATGGGAGGAGGAGGGGGGGGGAGGCGGAGGTGATATGGGAGTGTGTTAGGATTGTGGGCAGAGTGTGGGGGGGTGGGGGGAGGCAGAGGTAGTATGGGAGTGTGTTAGGATTGTGGCCAGAGTGGGGAGAGGGGGTATGGTGGCCAGAATGGGGGGGAGGGGAATATGGTATGGGAGTATGTTGGTATTGTGGCGAGAGTGGGGTGGGGAGGGGGTACGGTGGCCAAAGAGGGGGGAGGGGAGAGGAAGGGGTTGGGTGGGGGAGGGGAAAATGTGGCATGGGAATATGTTACTATTGTGGTAATGTGGTATTGTGGCCAAAGGAACAAGAATGTGGTGGTAGGCATAGGATGGTGTCCTTATGTATGTAAAGAAGTATAGTGACATTGAACAGGTGATGGTGATGGAAAATTGCGAGTCTGGGTATGTTTAGTTGCATTTTTTTAAAGATATCTGATTGCATATATTGTCAATGTATTTTTTTTTTTTTTTTTTACCTTTTTTTCTTAATTATTTGCTTTGTTTTGCTTTATTTCCTTTTCGTCTTTTTCCATTCTTTAATTTTCTTTTTTTCTTTCTTTTTCTTCTTCGATTTCGTCTTCAATCAGGCGATATTGTAACAGTGCCTTACCATAGAGATAGATAGAGAGAAAAAAAAAGATAGAGAAGGAGAAAGACAGATTAAAAATAAAGGAAGAGAAAGAAGGAAGGAAAGAGATTTGTCCAAGTAATATTAAAGTAGCCCCCCCCCCCCCCAGAAAAAAAAAATAAATAAATAAAAATAAAAAACAATAATAAATAAATAAATAAATAAAAATAAAAAACAATAATAAATAAATAAATACATAAATAAATCATGTTAATAAAACATTGAAAAATACAGTAACGCCTAGCAACAACAGCACAAAGACCGTAGTACTCACAAAACGAAACGAAGCCCATGCGGTTCAAAGTCGCGTGCGCCGGATCGATAATACATGTTTCAGGGAACACGGACGGTATAAGTCTTATTTTTCGGGGAAGTTTGGAACAGTGCCGACATTTTGCGTTTTTGGGGGAGGGGGGGGGTGGGCGCCCTTTGAGGAACAGCGCCCACCAGAAGCTTGAGATGAACGGACGTGCAAGAAGAGAGAAAGTGGGAGGGGGAGGGAAGAGGAGGGAGGGAGGGGAGAGAGAGAGAGAGAGAGAGAGAGAGAGAGAGAGAGAGAGAGAGAGAGAGAGAGAGAGAGAGAAAATATGATAGAGAAAGAGAACACGTGTCTCCCCCCCCCCCCCTAAAAAAAAAGCAAAGAGAGAGAGAGAGTGAGAGAGAGAGAAAGAGAGAGAGAGAGAGAGAGAGAGAGACCGGCGGAACGAGTTAGTCTTAGAAAAGCGCTTGTCTGAGTCTTTTTAAGTGCTACATCAAGTTAGAGCGAGGCTGGAAACGCTTTGGTAATGTTTATTCCGGGTGGAGCTGCCGTGCGGGCCCTCCTTCTGAGTTCGAGCAAGGGGGGGAAGGGGGAGGAGGGAGGATCCTGGCGGGCCCTCCTTCTGCGTTCGAGCAAGGGGGGGAAGGGGGGGAGGAGGGAGGATCCTGGCGGGCCCTCCTTCTGAGTTCGAACGAGGGAGGGAAAGCTGGGGGAAGGGAGAAGAGGGAGGGGAAGGACCGGGGGGATGGGGGGGGAGAGGGAGAGGGAGTAGAAAACGAAGAAAGGAAAAGAAGAAGAGGAAAAGAACGAAAGAGAATATGGAGAAACTAGGTTAGGGAGAGAGATTTAGGGTGGAAATATTGTGTTCGGGAGGTCTGTCATGTGTCAGGCATGAGAGATAGCTTCACTCTGTCACAATATGAACCATCACATAATTCTCTCTCACCAGCTGCTTCAATTTCCCCGCAACTCCTTCCCCCCCTTCCCCCCTTCCCCCCTTCCCCTCTTCTCCATCCCCCCCCCCCTTCCTCTTGCCCTGTGTTTGTATGGGTGATAATCATATATATTTGCTCCTGTCTTAGATCCTTAGGTGCTTAATGTTTCGTTCTGGGTATTCTAAGGAATAAGGGGGGGGGGGGTTAAGGGAGAAAGGGAGATGGGTAGGGGGAATAGAAGAGAGAGGGGTAGGGAGAGGATAAACGATGAGGGAGAATAAATGAAGATAAGGAAAGGAGTAAAGGGAGATAAACGAAGGGAGGGAGGGGGTAGGAGGGAGAATAAACGAAGATAAGGAAGGGAGTAAAGGGAGTTAGGGAGAAGGCCCGAGAAGCGAGGACGGCGTGCCCGTAGAAGGCGCGGAATTTGGAGCCTCGTCATATCCCTCTACTGGAAGGCAATTTTCTTATCAGGCGGAGCTTGTCAGCGTAACCTGCCAGAGGAAGGAGGCGGCCCGGAAATGGCTCGCTTTTTTTTAACCTTTTTCTCTTCTTTATTCTCTTTTTTTTCTTTTTTTCCCTCCTTTTTTTTAGTCACGTTTTGCGATTTCCTTTCCGTCTTCGCGTCAGATTCGGGAGCGTTCGGGGTGTAGGTGAAAGGAGGGAGAAATACCATTATGTATTCACGCGGACGTCTTTCCATCTGCTCGTACGTGCGTCGCTGTGTGTGTGTGTGTGTGTGTGTGTGTGTGTGTGTGTGTGTGTGTGTGTGTGTGTGTGTGTTTCTAGTTCGTCCATGTTCGTGTGAATCCAAACGCTTTATAATTTTCCTCCCAAAGATCTGGATGTAAAATTCGACATGCCATATCATGCAATATGCAATGATAACGCCAGATCTGCCTTCTGCAATAGTCGCGACGGCGGCTCAACGTCCTTTCAGCCGCCCCTTCGGCCCTGAAAGCTGGTCGCGGTCTCCCGTTCAGTCGCAAGAGATTCCCCTTTTCGGCCCTATGAACTTTTCGGCGCAAAAAAAATGCACGGGCGTCCACGAACAGGGAAACGGGCGGTCTCGCGTGACGGTGGGGGAAACAGCCGCTGAATCGAGGCCTGTTCCGCCGGCTCCGACAGCGACGGCAGCGGCGCCCGGGACCTGCGAGTGCCAACTTCGAAGGCCAAGCACTACCGCTACTTCCAACGCCGCTACCTTACCGATACCGCAACTATCACCAATGCTACCGCTAGCACCACCGTCACCGCCGCCGCCGCTACCGCAACCGCCACCGCAACCACAGCCTTGTCTCGGGGCGCAGGGCAGCTCGCTATACCTGTTACTCATCAGCTAATGATAATCAGAAGTGCGGCCAAGTTGAGCGGGAAACCTAACTTGTCCGCTAATTATAAGTTTCATGCGGTGTTGTTGTTTGGCCATTGTTTAATAAGGATGTAATGTTAAAACGAGAAACTTTGAATTGATGAAGAAAGGAGAAAAGGGGAGGCGGAGAGGTTAATGTGGCGGGAAGGAAAGAGAAGGGAGGGAGGAAGGAAGGAAGGAAGGAAGGAAAAGGGAACGAGAGCAAGGGCAATAGACAGACACACACACACACACACACACACACACACACACACACACACACACACACACACACACACACACACACACACACACACACACACACACACACAGAAAGAGAGAGAGAGAGAGAGAGAGAGAGAGAGAGAGAGAGAGAGAGAGAGAGAGAGAGAGAGAGAGAGAGAGAGAGAGAGAGAGAGAGACAGACAGACAGAGAGAGACAGAGACAGAGAGAGAGAGACAGACAGAGAGAGAAAAGAAAGAAAAGAAAGAAAAAGGAAAGCGGAGAGGCACTCGGCCACGAGACTCGGGCATCGAGCGCGCAAGACACCGGCGCCGCGTCCGAAATGATGGCGGACAGAGCTGGGCGGGACAGCAGGTCTCAGCGGGATCGGCCCATCCCAGCTGAGTAATTAAGGCAGTGTGACCCGTTAATTGGGGAATAATTAACGAGGGAGGTTTGGGGTTCACGCGAGACTTCCACTTCACGCACGCACAGAGGTTTTGGGAGCATTGCTTGCGCGGCGCTGGCTTCGGTTTGCTTGCGGTTGTTCGGATGGCGTGGCGGCGGGATTGCGAAGGGTTGTTGCTGGTATTGTTGCTATTATTATTGTTATTATTATTATTATTATTATTATTGTTGTTGTAAATGTCATTGTTGTTGGTTATTAGGTTTGTTGTTATTGGTTATTAGTGTTCTTATTGTTATTATTATCGTTGTTTGTGTTATTATTATTATTATTATTACAGTTGTTTGTGATTATTATTATTATTGTTATTGTTATTATTATTATTAATATTATTATCATTATCATTATCATTGTTATTATTATTATACCGCCCCTACTACTACTGCTACGTCTACTATAACTGATAATGATAATGATGATAGTAATAATAACAATAGTATCAATGATATGATAATGAAAAAATATAAGAGTAATAACAATGCTAACACCATCATCCTCACCACCATTAGATTGCCGTAAGGATACAACTTAGGCACTATAAGATACCCCCTCCCCCCTCATCGTTGCAACTGAAGTCTGAGTGTGCAAGAAATTCTCTCTCTCTCTCTCCCTCACTCACTCACTCCCCCCCCCCCCCCCCCCCCCCCTCTCTATCTCTCTCTCTCTCTCTCTCTCTCTCTCTCTCTCTCTCTCTCTCTCTCTCTCTCTCTCTCTCTCTCTCTCTCTCTCTCTCCATCTCTTTCTCTCTCTCTCCCTCCCTCCTTCCCTCCCTCTCCCTCCCTCTCCCTCTCTCTCTCTCTCTCTCTCTCTCTCTCTCTCTCTCTCTCTCTCTCTCTCTCTCTCTCCGACTAATATGCCTCTTTGTAGATGTTAATAACACCGGTAACAGCGCCCCTTCAGATGTACCTAACAGCGCAAGTTCCTGAAGCTGACGCGCTGAAGTTAATGTCAATGGGTGTTCGTAATGGCGGTGATGCCTTGTTAATGGTGATGGGGAATGTCTGAAGTAATAGCAGTCGTTCCCATTTTTGCCCCAACTATTGGTGGCATTTTCAAAACTTTGGGACCGTCGGGACTAATGTATGTTGAGAGTATTTTCATGGGACTTCTATATAGACTTTTAAGTATTTCGCTGCTAAGTTTCCTTCTCTCTCGTTTTATTTTTATTTTATTTTTTTCTTTCTCTCTCTTTTTCTTTCTCTCTTTCTCTCTCTCTCTCTCTCTCTCTCTCTCTCTCTCTCTCTCTCTCTCTCTCTCTCTCTCTCTCTCTCTCTCTCTCTCTCTCTCTTATCGTCTTCGTTTTTTTCTGTTATTTTTTTCTTCGTCTTTTCTTTGATCTCTTGTCGATTTTTATTTTCATTCGTTTTTTCCGAGAGTGGAAGGGAGGGAAGGAAGGAAGGAAGGAAGGAAGGAAGGAAGGAAGGAAGGAAGGAGGGAGGGACGGATGGATGGAAGGAAGGAATGAGGGAAGGAGGGAGGGAGGGAGGGATGGAAGTACAGAAAGTGAAGTAAAGACAGACAGACAAACAGACAGACTTGACTTGTCTTGTCTTCAAAGTCCAGCCAATATCCGGAAAATAACCAGAATACGAAGATCTTTTTTCCTCCATCTTCTTTTCTTCTCTTTTCGTTTTTTTTTTTCGGTTTTTGTCCGATTGGAAATCCCAGGGAGCGAAAAGTATTATCTCCGCTCGCCTCGTTAAGAGGATGTTGAAAACTGGAGGTCATTTTCTCGTGTGGGTGGGCAGGTAGAGGGAGGGAGGGAGGGAGGGAAGGAGAGAGGCAGGGAGGGAAGGAGGGAGGGAGGAAGGAGAGAGGCAGGGAGGAAGGAGGGAGGGAGGGAGGGAAGGAGGAGAGGCTGGGAGGGAAGGAGAGAGGCAGGGAGGGAAGGAGGGAGGGAGAGAAGGAGAGAGGCAGGGAGGGAAGGAGAGAGGCAGGGAGGGAAGGAGGGAGGGAGGGAGGGAAGGAGAGAGGCTGGGAGGCTGTATGTTTTAATGTTTGTGTTTGTTTTCGTATTCGTATCTGTAAGGGATAGATGTAAAGGAGATTGAGTGCGTGTGTTTATGTTTACGCATAAGTGTATGTACCAAGAAGAGGGTGAGCACGCCCACGTACGTACATCCACGTGCGTCCTAGCGTTCGTGCGTCCGTGTGTGCTCCCCTTCCATCCATCTCCGCACGAGAGATGTCACAAAATAAGGGATTATTGTCACTCGCGACGGAAAGTGTCGTTGACTGGAGCTGACGTTTTTGCGCCGCCGACTGTACATGCCGACAGAGCCACGGCACTTAGGCACGCGCCAGCCATCGTACCTGCGTCGGGGCGGTGAGCGAGGCCGAAACGCACGTGTTGACCCGCCCATTTGTTACGTTGATTGAACGTCAGATGTATAAATTACTGGGGCGTTGTGCATGCTATGAAATGGAGGGACGGAGGGAGGGGGGTAGGAAGGAAAAGGGAAAGAAGGAGGGAAAGAGATACAGAGAGAGAGAGAGGGAGAGAGAGAGAGAGAGAGAGAGAGAGAGAGAGAGAGAGAGAGAGAGAGAGAGAAAGAGAAAGAGAAAGAGAGAGGAAACTGACAAATTAACAAACAGACAGAGCTAAAGGACACAAGCGAAAAAGAAAGAGACATAAACATATAAATACAGACATACGAATATTCAGACAGCCAGCTAAACAGATAAAAGACAAGGATAAGGGAAGGCTTTTAGCGCAGCAGTGAACACAAACGCTCCACCACTGTTCAGCTGAACGATATTTTCCCCGTCCAGTGCAACAATCCAGCTTGCGGCTATACTTATTGTTCCCGGTCATAAAAGGCCACGAATAAAGCAGTGCAATTGCAAAAAAGGAAAAAAAAAATGTTTTTGCTGTTCTGATGTTAGTGGAAGCGATGAGGAGGGGGGAGGGAGTGGGATGGGGAGGTGGAGATAGGTTTAGGGGGAGGGGAGCAGGAATCGGGCGGAGGGAGGGAGTGGGAGAAGGAAGGGGAGGCTTAGAGGGGAGAGGGAGGAGGAGGAGCGGGAGGAGGAGGAGGAGGAGGAGGAGAGGGAGGAGGAGAGAAGGGTGGGGTATAGTGAGGAGGGGGGGGAGGGGGCGTTCCATAGAGACCTTGGTTCGGGTGTTTCATAGTGCATTGCCAGTTTTAATACGGGAATTGTTTGTTTAAACTCGTTTTGTCGCGGCCATTCAAAACTCTGCTGAGTGTGTGTGTTTTATGGATGTATGTATTTATGTAACCATGCCTAACTTTCCGTGTGTGTATGTGTTGGGAATTTATTTATATCCCATTATTTTTGTTTCTTTTTTATCATTTATATGTTGTTGTTTTTACCATTTATATATTTGTTCATTATATATGTTTATATATTATTTATATTTTTTACGTATTGTGTATTTGTTTACATATTATTTATATATTTTGTGATCTTTGTTTACGTAACGGACTTCTTCTCCTTCTGTTGCAATACGCTGGTTGTTGCAAACCTATTGCGTTTGCTTTAGCAAGTATATGACTAAGCTGATTCCGTCGCCTTTATCGTCAGCGACCTGGGCCTTAATACGATTTTTTTCTTTTTTCTTTTCTTTTTTCTTCTTGGAATTCTACGTATGCAAATCCGTGGCATTACGTATTCTGGAAGTGCGAAGGCGCGGAGTACCTCGTTGACGGGCCGGTGGGCGTGTGGGAAGGAGGGAGGGGGCGTGGGGGGAGGGGGAAAGAACGCAAGGAGTTTTAGTTGTGGGCGGGCTTGTGGGCTGGGCGGTAGATCGAGGGGGGGGGGCGAGGGCGGTCAGGTCGTCTCGGCGCGGGCGTGGGAAGGCTTGTTGCGTGTAGGCGGGCGGGCGGGCGTCGTAGCGTTGTGCGGGAGGAACAGGTTTGCGAATATATGTTAGTAGGTAAGCTTTGTAGGAGCGGGTTCGTGAGGCCGGCTTACGTCACCTTGGCTCCGGTCATGTTGGCGGTAGGGATTGGGGGGGAAACGTACGTATTATGGTCACTGAGGGAGGAAACGTACGTATTGTCCTCACCGGGGGATGGCGTCTTTCGTATCGAGGAGGAAACGTACGTACTGTCGTTACGTTACCGCGTAGGCCTGGGCGGGATGAGGCGTGCTATCTCTGCAGTTCAAGCAAAGCCTAAAGCGATCCTGCGGCAAATGGATGCAACATAAGCCGTCATCACGCACGCAACCATTCCACTTCTGTATTGCAACAAACGGAGGCCAATCCCGTTGCAAATTGATTATTGCCGCGGCGCTCGTTTACTCTTTTACCTGCCAAATGCGCGGACATTATCAGACTGAGCGCTCGTGAGCCGTTCTCTCTCTCTCTCTCTCTCTCTCTCTCTCTCTCTCTCTCTCTCTCTCTCTCTCTCTCTCTCTCTCTCTCTCTCTCTCTCTCTCTCTCTCTTTCTCTCTCTCTCTCTCTCACTCTCTCCCTCCCTCCCTCCCTCTCCCTCCTCCCTCCTCCCTCTCCCTCATCATCCCTTAACAGTATTCATATCAGCAGTTTCGGAATCCAAAATAATTTTTTTTTTTTTTTTTTTTTTTTTTTTTTTTTTTTTTTCAAAAGTGAGGTAAAAAAGAAAAGGGGATTAAGAAAACGAAAAAATATATATATATTGATAATCAGCTTAACGACTCTTCTCGTTGTTACATCCCGACCTGCGGAACATCTTTAACGAGGATGGGAAGAAGATGCTGCGAGATCGTGTCATCAAGAGAGAGGGAGGGAGGGATGAGAATGGGGGAGGGGAGAGAGAGGGAGGGAGGGATGAGAATGGGGGAGGGGAGAGAGAGGGAGGGAGGGAGGGAGGGAGGGAGGGAGGGAGGGAGGGAGGGAAGGATGAGAATGGGGGAGAGAGAGAGAGAGGGAGAGAGAGAGAGGGAGGGAGGGAGGGATGAGAATGGGGGGGAGAGAGAGAGAGAGAGAGAGGGAGGGAGGGAGGGATGAGAATGGGGGGAGAGAGAGAGGAAGAGAGGGAGGGAGGGAGAGAGGGAGGGATGAGAAAGGGAGAGAGAGAGAGAGAGGGAGGGAGGAAAGATGAAAATGGGAAAGAGAGGGAGAGAAAGAGGGAGAGAGAGAGGGAGGGAGGATGAGGAGAATGGGAGACAGGGAGAGGAAGGGAGGATGGGAATGGGAGAGAGGGAGGGAGGGAGGGAGGGAGGGGAGTTGGAGGAAAAAGAGGTTTATTGTGTTATGCCGCACATTTATGAAGAGGAGTGCCACAACGTGGACCAAGAGGGTGCTTGCCCGCCTTCCCCTTCCCCCTTCCCCCCCTTCCCCTCCTCCTCATCCCACCCCACTCCTATTCAATCCCCTCTCCTCCCCGTTTCCCTTATATGCCAGAGAGAGAGGTGGGGGGGGAGGGAGACTGACAGATATACAAACAAGCATGTAGGTAGGTCTGTAGGTAGGTAGGTAGGGAGGTAGAAAGACAAATAGACAGACAGACCGACAGACAGACAGACACGCGAGGCGGCGCTTCTAGCCTCTCCTTCCCGGAAAGTAAACCGACTGTGTTATAATTCATCTTCGTGTTGAACGCATGCAAATTAGCCATAATGCATAAATAGAGCAATTGAAAAGCCACTTAAAACCCAGAGGCGAAGGGAGGTCGAAGGGGAAGAAAGGAGAAGAAAGGAGAAGGGAGGAGAAGGGAGGAAGGAGGTGGAATGGATGTTCACTCTTTGTTACTGTTCTGTTTTTTTTCTGTTATCTTGTTATTGTTTTGTGTTCTGATTCTGTTCGTTTCTGCGTGTGCCCGAGTTCTTTTTCTTCTTCATCTTCTTCTTTTTCATCATCGTTTTCTCCTTCTTCTTCTTCTTCTTCTTCTTCTTCTTCTTCTTCTTCTTTTTCTTAATCTGTGGTTGATGTTCATAGCTGGGCGTCGCGAGTGTATTAATGTCCATATTTGTCAACATGTTTGTTTGTTTTTGTGTGTAATTATTATTTTGCTTCAGTGTTTTAATTGTGTCCGTTTCCATTATTGTCTTAATGTTTT